AGACTACTGTCAGTAACACACTACACCACCAGCAGGCTGGGACTAATGTAACAAAGACTACTGTCAGTAACACACTACACCACCAGCAGGCTGGGACTAATGTAACAAAGACTACTGTCAGTAACACACTACACCACCAGGAGGTTGGGACTAACCTAACAAAGACTACCATCAGTAACACACTACACCACCAGGAGACTGGGACTAATGTAACAAAGACTACTGTCAGTAACACACTACACCACCAGGAGGTTGGGACTAACCTAACAAAGACTACCATCAGTAACACACTACACCACCAGGAGACTGGGACTAATGTAACAAAGACTACTGTCAGTAACACACTACACCACCCGGGACTCAGATCCTGCAGGGCCAGACGTGTTCCTCTGTTTAAGCCAGTACATATCCAGGCCCGTCTGAAGTTTGTTAGGAGAGCATTTGGATGTTCCAGAGGAGTACTGGTAGAAAGTCTTATGGTCAGATGAAACCAAAGTAGAACCGTTTGGTAGAAACAGAACTCATCGTGTTTGGAGGAGAGTGAATGCTGAGTTGCATCTTAAGAACACCATACCTACTGTGAAGCATGGGGGTGGCAACATCATGTTTTGGCACTGTTTCTCTGCAAAGGGACCAGGACGACTGATCTGTGTCCATGAAAGAATGAGTGGGGCCATGTATGGTGAGATTTTGAGAGCAAAACTTCCATCAGCAATCATTGAAGATGAAACATGATGGGTCTTTCAGCATGATGATGATCCCAATCACACCACCAGGGTAACGAAGGACTGGCTTCATAAGAAGCATTTCCAGGTCCTGGAGTGGCCTAGCCAGTAAATAATACTGAGTTTGTGTTGTGAAAGACTTACAGCTACATCCGGCCTAATTCTAGCAGTGTGTGTAAAACTGACTTAATAATAGTCATCTTTGGTTTCTAAGATTAGGTGGCAGCCATCTTGAACTGGGAAAACTCCAAAAGTTAATCTGCTTTAGATGCWCACACAATGAATACTTTCTGCAAGKTTRATTAAAATCTRTCCAGTGGGTCAAATTTAATTTCATAAACATTTTAAGACCAAAATGTTAGTAAAGTTAGTGAACAGCTGAAAAGCATTTCATGTTCCTCACCCCAAATGGAGGCTCCACAGTGCATGTGCTGTGGTGTGTATTTAAGCAGGCGGTGGCGACCGTTGTGATCCTCAATGTGGTAGAGAGGGATGGTCTGGAAACGTCTCCAGCCCAAGGAGAAGATGAGTGGGTCTCTTGTCTTCAGGATACGGTCATACCACCTGTGTTTCTTCAGTCGCATCTGACAGTACACACAAATTTTAAACCGTTTGTGCAATGTTCCAATGGCTCTTCTGAACATTTGTTCTACATTTTTGTTCTGAGTAACTCTACAACTAGGGCTTAAAGATTTGTAATGTCTACCCTACTTTTTGTGTTACTTCATGGGCTTTTTAAATTTGCTTTCAGAGACACCATCAGTCATGGTTGTATTGTTGACTGCTTGAATGGATTCATCTTTACCCGTGAACACCACAAAGTCACAGGCTCAACTCTAGGGCTGTAGCAATATAATCTCACGATACGATATGATATTCTGCTCACGATACGATAAATATATCACAATATTCAGCGAACAATAMGATTCGATTTCCTGAACGATTTTAGAAGGACACAGTGATTTTGGTGACATTTTGTGACTGTTCCATAGACTTGTATTGAATTAACTGAACTGAAAACTGATTAAAAGCAGCAACTACACAATACCTGATCTGATTGGACAGAGACCTAGAGTCTACAGAATCAAAGATGTGGTGAGACAACTGGTTTTCTTTAACTGAAACAGTGCAAACTGTAGCTTACAGGCCTAAATAATATTTAGTTCTATCCAGGTAAATTTGGCCAATAAAGAGTAAATGTTCCCAAATCTTCAGGATTTGTTGTTTATGATGAGAGGAATTAACACAAAGACTTGGAGGTAAATTATTTTGTTCCCATGTTACAGAGGGGGAACAGATTATTTTAAACAACTGAAATATTTGGTTCTTGTATCAGCAATAAAAAAAATTATAAATACACACAATGTGTTGGAAGACAGTGTTTGGTGTCTGACTGATAAACAGTGAGGCTAAAGACAACATGAGAAANTGTTAGAAGGAGCTTATATTATAAACTCTTTCTAATCTGAATTATTCATATCATACTTATATCCGCTTTGACTTATTTTTTAGTAATCAAAGTTTCATGTCTATGTTCACTAATGACTAATGAATAAAAAATATCAGATAACAGAATCTTCAAACCTTAACAAAGCAAGTGTTCTTAAAGATCTTGTAAGGATAGCCAATCAGTTTGAGCTTCTTCACGATTGTCACTGATTTATCCAAATCCAGGACGACTCCTGTGGCTGCGATGCGGAAATTTGCCTGCAAAGACAGCAGAACAATGTGTATGTAAACTTTAAAGCAAAATATTTTGATGTACTAAAAGTAACAGCTAACACATGAACAAAATCTTTTCGGAATTGTGTGACATTATCTGTATATTTGTGATTCACTGGTAAACAATTTGTTRTCTCAAGTGACTCCAGCTTACTTTTGTTCCTGCCACTGACTGTAGAGCGAGGAAACCAGAACCTTGTGGTGTAATGGGACCTTAAGAGAAACAAAACGATAAAGCATTTAGCTGGAATAAATCTGATCATTTAAAATCTTACACTAAAGCCTGYTATCCAAGACTTCTAAATATCTGAGATGGAACAGGTGATGACCCTAAGTGGTTAAAAGTTTTCAAGGTGAGCATCAATTTAACATCAAACCATCAGTTGTAGACAATGACTAATTTTTAAAGGTTTTGGTMAAATCCATTCTGTGGTKTRTAAGATACTTTGCTAACATACAAACAGGGCTGACTCACAACAATTATTTCTGAAGATTTATATAATTGGGGAAAAAGATATTTAGTCATCCACCAAGTGTTCAAGTTCTCACATATAAAAAGATGAGAGGTCTGTAATTGACATCATAATTAGACCTCAACTATGAGAGACAAAATGATCTAGAAAATCACATTGTCTGAAGTTTGTAAGAGTTTATTTGGAAATTATGGTGGAAAATAAGTATTTGGTCAATAACAATCAAGATTTCTGTATCTCACAGATCTGTAACTTCTTCTTTAAGAGGATCCTCTGTCCTCCACTCACTGCCTGTAGTAATGGCACCTGTTCGAACTTGTTGTCGGTATAAAAACACCTGTTGCAACCTCAAACAGCCACACTCCAAATAGGGAAGACCAAAGAGCTGTGTAAGGACACCAGAAAAAAACTGTAGACCTGCACCAGGCTGGAAGACTGTATCTGCAGTAAGAAAGCAGCTTGGTGTGAAGAAATCTACTGTGGGAGCAATAATTTAAAAATGAAAGACCTAAAAGACCACTGATAATCTCCCTCAATCAGGGGCTCCACACAAGATCTCACACAGTGGGGTGAAAATGATCAAAAAAACAGTGAAGAAAAATCCCAAAACCACACAGGGGACCAGGTGAATGACCTGCAGAAGACTGGGACTAACCTAACAAAGACTACTGTCAGTAACACACTACACCACCAGGAGACTGGGACTAACCTAACAAATACTACTATCATTAACACACTACACCACCAGGAGACTGGGACTAACATAACAAATACTACCATCAGTAACACACTACACCACCAGGAGACTGGGACTAACATAACAAATACTACCATCAGTAACACACTACACCACCAGGAGGCTGGGACTAACATAACAAATACTACCATCAGTAACACACTACACCACCAGGAGGCTGGGACTAATGTAACAAATACTACCATCTGTAACACACTACACCACCAGGAGGCTGGGACTAATGTAACAAATACTACCATCTGTAACACACTACACCACCAGGAGGCTGGGACTAATGTAACAAATACTACCATCTGTAACACACTACACCACCAGGAGGCTGGGACTAATGTAACAAATACTACCATCTGTAACACACTACACCACCAGGAGGCTGGGACTAATGTAACAAAGACTACTGTCAGTAGCACACTACACC